AACAAAGATGCACATTTTTTTTGTGAATTCGTTGATCTAAACATAGTCTACATTTTATTTTCGAGAAAGCTAAGATCTATATAATCAGGTGAAAAAATATGCTTTTATACTTACATTCAGTTTATAAGCTATTCTGTTTCCTGGACCTATTCTTTGCTCACTATCAATCCAATATGAAGGAATTCCACGTTCCTCTGCAATCTCCTGAAGATGTGAGGTGTTGCTTGAGTTCCATCCACCAACAACCAATATAAGATCCAACTTTTCCTCTACCAATTTATACATTGCATCTTGTCGCTCCTGAGAAAACAGAAAAGAATTTGCTTTAATATGGATTAATACTCAAGGTAATAATTTTGCATGAAATAGAAAGGATATTAGAAGAAATGAAAATCCATTTCTATTTATAATGCTACATTAACATGTCATAATTACAAAAGATCTAATGAAAACAAGATTATGGAAATCACAAGATTAGGAGAGAGAGAGAGAGAGAGAGAGAGAGAGAGAGAGAGAGAGAGAGAGAAAGAGAGAGAGTAATACTTGAGTAGCATCACAAATTGTGTTGAAGCTCATGAAATGCTGATTAATATTTTGAACCCCATACTTCTGCATCATAGTTCTCTCCAATAACTTTCCTGTAGAAATGAAGAATAATTTCAATACGAAAAAACACAGTTTGTGCTTAACAGAAAACAATATGAATAAGATGCCACTGCATGCAACAACCAATCTCTTCCGTTTCTCCTTTGAGCATTGTAGTTTGATTTGCAATGCCGAGCTTTTCAAGATCACGATCTGGATCAAATCCCTCTGAAACTGCAAATTTAAATTTCTGGAGACAAGCCGGTAGTTATTTCAATAATTGCATAAAGCATAAGGTGCTTGACAATCAGGAGCAAATTTATAACAAAAAACTTCACCTCTAGAAATGCCTCCTTTGTAGAGCTAGATCCATTGAGTTCACCCCCAAGAATGTAATCACACACATACATTGCCTGTGTCAAAGTTAGATATTCATAGATTAGAGAATATAGTAATTGAAGAGTTATCATTCTGTTTGCTGTATTAAGTAATTATTACATCTTTCAAAATAGGGGTGCAATTTACTGCAATAAATCGGACAATTAGCCACCATTAGGACATACCTCTGTCATATTCTTCACAATAACATACTTTCCCGCAAAAGATGCAGTTGCTACAGTTTCCTCATGGGAGTACTTACCATGAATAATCGAAGTGTACTCTTTCATCTTGTGTTTCTCTACAGTGTTCCAAACCTTCAAACAATTTTAAGCTTAAGGATATTACTGACAAGAATATTCCCAAAAAAGCAGATGCTAGATATAAAATTAAAGAACTAGGAAAAGAATGTCATGGTAGCCGCTCGTTAGTGTCTAACAGTACCTTTGCTACCCAAGGGCAAGTTGTATCAACTACTTGTACTTTCTTGTCATCCAAAATCAACATCTCATCCACTGCAGCCCCAAAAGCAGGCAAAATCACCACATCACCCTTGTCAACAACATCAAACTGTTTCTTCCCTTCTTCAAGAGGAATATTTTGAACTTCCATCTCCTCTAATCGCTGCCATAGAATGTGTAAGAGCATCTCTAATCATTAACTGAATTTTGAAACAATAAACAAGAATGGTACAAAACAAGTTTCAAACTCAAGACATAATTCATGATGATAAGTAGAAAATAAGGTTTAGAACCTTATTCACTGTTGGATTGTGAATGATTTCATTAGTAATCCAAATCCTCTCTTCCGGAAATTGTTTTCTCGCTTCATAAGCAATCTGGACAGCCCGTTCAACTCCCCAGCAAAAGCCATATGATTCTGCCAGTTTTACTGTGACATTCCCCCAGGTGTACTCATTTCCATTATCTTTCAAAGTTGTTATTATATCACCTGCATTCCAAAAAATGATTAGCTAAACTAAGTAAAAATCCAATCAAGCAAGAAAAAATTTACAATTCGCAAGTGGCAACAGGCTTTTAATATAGTAAATTCAAAATAAACCTGTACTTTGCGCTAAAGCGAGTCAAAAGTTCTGCCACCCTACAAATGAAAAAAGTTTGGCTAGACAACCCAGGCACTAGTTAGCAATTAAAAACCCACCAATCTAGGATATCAGGCACGGAAAAAACTGCTTCCCACAAGTAATGGAGGCAACAGGTAAAGTAATCATTTACCAAAGCAAATTTTGAAAATACTTAACGATCATAGGCAACATATGCATCTGATATCCGAGCTCGTAACTAATGGAAGGAAAAAAGCCCGTTCCTTGAGTAGTAGCAAGAAAATCAAAGACCTTTAAATCTTCCGCAACTAGTCCCGATAAATGCTCTAAGAATCCAGAGCTAATATCCACTCAAATTTTAATGAGTCTCCTACTTAACAGCCCCGGATTATATCTTTTTTCTGTAAACAAAACAGCACCAAATCCAAAAGTCTGATCTTTCACATTTTCTCAAATTTTAGTTCCAAACATTGAAGAACTTCTCCCCCAAAATAAAATATATCCATTCAATTGCAATTCCATTTCTCATTATTTTCCTCGCAACCAAACAACAAAAACAGTCAAACTTAGTCAACTCAAATTAAAAAAAAACTTATCTACAACAAGCATCGTTTCTTCATTTTATCGGACACCAAACAGCTATCAAATCGCAATTCCTGGTAGTTCGAGTCAACTAATAAACTTAATCAAATAACTCCTCCCACATCCAATCAAATCCGTAGTTTAGCTGTGAAAGAATCAAGAGAACTCACTGGTGTACTCTTGGTTCATGAGCTCGAGAGTCTCCTCCTTGCGACCGAACCCCTTTTTGTTATAATTCTCACTTCGCGTGAAGTTCTTCCTGAACACCTTGGTGTCGAAATTGGATTCCACTGCCACCGAATCAGAAGGAGACTCACCGCCGGAGCAACGAACAGAACACTGCTTCCGACGTCCGAGAGCTCCAATTCCCAAGGAATTCTCCGGAGAGAAGGCGTCTGTGCGGACGTAGAAGCGGCATAGTTGCAGAGAGATAGCCATTGCGAGAGAGAGTTAGAGAAAGAGGCGCGTAGGCGACCGGACAGATGTAAAACTGAGCACCTAACTTATGGTTCCGAATTCCTCTCGCTCCTCCATGTGTATTTATCGGCCAGTTGTCGGGTTCTTTTTTTCTTAAAATTATAATTTTTCCCCTGTATTATAATTCATTTTTGACTGGCTTTATTTTAGGGCAAAAAAAAAATATTATTAATTTTATTTGAAAATAAAACACATCAATTTATTTTTTTAAAAATGAAAATAAAATTAAAATATATATATGTTTTATATATATATAAAAAAACCTAATAAAATATTATTATTATTAATTTTATTTTATTTATTCATTTGGATAATGATTGATTTGTTGTCTTATGGGACGGGAGTCGCAAACTTTTGGTGCGATTCCAAATTAAATGTGATGCTCGTTTTGGAACCTACACTTAAATGAGTATTTTGTAATTTGTTCAATTTATAAAATTATAGATTCAATGAATTAGGTAGAATATGGATACGGGTCTCACGTATACACCGAAAAAACGTGATCTGTCGGAATTTTTTCGAGTTAAGAAAATAAAAATTTTCATTAACTTCGCTCGTTATATAATTAAAGTAACTTTAAACATATTTACATCAAATTTAAATTTTTTTAAAATAATCTACCATTGTATAAAAGATAAATATAAATTAAATTTTTTAAAAGATATAATTTTTTAATAATTTAAAAATAAATTTGTATCTTCTTTTAGTAAATAAGTAATAATTGAGTAAATTAACAAAATTAGTCAATTGTAATAAATTGCTTTGATAATTATTAGGTATTTTTTTAATTAAATACCATAATTTGCAATATTTATACTAATTATTATAAATTTAAATATATATTTTTTAATAAAAAATTAAGATAATTAAATCATTTTTAAAAATAATTTAACTAATTAATTAAATCAATAATAATTTTTTTTTTAAAAAAAACCCAAAATTATCATATTCATAAAATTTAATAAAATTAAAATTATTGTGTTGGCTTTGTAACCACAATCCTCACCATATATCAAAGTTTGTATTTTTGTCACGCGGGGCCCATCATATCCTCGTGCTGAAAAATGCTCCTCAAAAATAAGATCGTTTTACGTCCTCCATAACTTTCCATTAGTGGTAATCTCACAGCAGTCCCGGCAATGGAGAGTACCCGCTCACTGCAGTCACCTGCTGTAACGACGGTATCATCCTCTTTATCCAGACCTGAATGCAACGTAAAACCTCATGGCTTTGTTCAGTTCCTCAAATTTTCCAGTTCCAAGAGACACCCACACGGCAGGAAGCTCAAATTCGTTGATTACAGGGCTCAATCTTCAGGTATTCGTCAGTCATTCTACATATTTGACCCTCCTGTGAAATGGGTATCTGTTGGCTTCTATTTTGACAGGAATTATTAGTTTTGATGCGTTTAATTGCTATATCAGAAACTGACTGCCATTGCTTGTATATAAATGAGAGATTATGATTTGAAACTAAAAGATTGAATATCTTCTTGAACCAATTTGGTGTAAAGTTCCAGAACACTGCTTTTTTTGATGAAGTAGAAAAATTTAATGAGGAACTTGCATTTTACATGAAAGATCAAATGTTCAAGAATTTTGCAATTTGCTGTTGAAGTCTTTGCAATGTCAAAATTGTAGTATGCAAGTGTCTGTTAATTGTTGTGCGTACTGATAATTGTTGTTTGTTTTTTTTTTATGATAGGGTGAGTTTCGTTTATAGGGACTGATGTTTATACGCGTTTGGGTTTTGTCTGATTAGACTCCAAGAGAAATATAATGTGGTTTGAAATCTAGGGAAGATATATGTTCATAATATAAACATTCAATGCAGAACACAGTTTTGTTTTTTGGTTTTTGTTCTAAATGATAATGTAAAAACCAGGGAGTAGAAATACAATGTGGCTTGCTATTTTGTGTTTGTACATTTATTGTTCGTTGATATGTATTCGTTGTTACGTGCTGCTATCTCCCCTGTCTGCATGGCAAAGTGTTTCTATTCGAGAATGTCTTTTTTCTTCTTGGAGGGTCCTGAGCCTAAACCATGATGATCTTCTAATAATTTTTCGGTTTACATAATTTATACATGTCAAATATGACAAAGGTGCATTGAAGGTTAGCTCAAAGGCAGTCGAGGCAATCCCCAAGAAAGAAGAATCTAAAGATGATGATCTTGCCTTTGTTGCCGGGGCTACTGGTAGAGTTGGCTCGAGAACAGTAAGGTCATTCTCTGCTGCTCACTACCTCAGTTGTAAGCCAAATAATATTCAAATTCGGCTATAAGCTTGTTTCTAAAGTTCTACAGGAATTTAAAATCTTCTTCAGGGAGCTTCTGAAACTTGGTTTTCGAGTCAGAGCTGGAGTGAGGAGTGCTCAGAGAGCTGAAAGTCTTGTACAAGTACGGTTTTGGTGAAGTATTTGCTTTTTTGTCACCTAGGTCCCCTAAACTTTCTATAATCTAAGTCACAGTTATCTTGCAGAGTGTCAAGCAAATGAAGCTCGATGATGCAGGTGAAGGAGCTCCACGTAAGAAAAGAGAGCTTTGAAATACCAAAATTTTAACCTTATTCTAGCTGCTCGGAGCAATCAAATGAACAACATGTTTAAACGTGAAATAGTACTCTTTATTGTATGCTCTCTTAGCAAGTAACAGGTTACTTTTGGTCTTTAGCCCAGCTGTAGAAAAGCTTGAAATTGTAGAATGTGACTTGGAGAGACCAAATCAGATTGGACCAGCGTTAGGGAAAGCATCAGTTGTTATATGTTGCATCGGTGCTAGTGAGAAGGAGGTTTTTGACATTACAGGACCTTACAGGATCGATTATCTTGCTACCAAGAACCTTATTGATGCAGGTAATAAATAAAATGCAGAATCATTTACTTGTGTGTTTACTAGTTCTAATTTCAGATGAGTAATTTTCCAGACCAATAAAATTGATAATGATTCTATGTTTTATGATATTTTCTGTGCCTACATATTTTGAAATACAATGAAGAAGTGTAGAAATCTAAGAAAGACTCTACTAAAATCGCTATATCATTGGTAGTTTTGTTTTTCATCTCAGTACCAGTACACTTATTTTCATTGTTGTGAAACATGCTAAAACTTGATTGTTTATTCTTATATGCAGCTACTGCTGCAAAAGCGAACCACTATATTTTGGTTACATCTTTGGGAACAAACAAAGTTGGATTTCCTGCAGCTATTCTCAAGTAAGTCCAAAATTTTTCTACCCACCAACTCTTTAAGATATCTGTTAACTTTGCTGAAAGGTAAGCAGAAAAGAAAATTAGAATACCTGTTCAAGTCATTAGAACTACTGACAAGTCCTTTCCATTTAAGCTTATTTTGGGGTGTCCTGATATGGAAGAGGAAAGCAGAAGAAGCTCTCATAGCTAGTGGTCTTCCATATACTGTTAGTGCCTCCAGAATTAGCTGAATATTTACTGGATTCCTGGATTTTGAGCACATCTTACGTTGAGCTTGATTACTCGTCCTAAACTTCTTCAGATAGTAAGACCTGGAGGAATGGAGCGGCCTACTGATGCATTCAAGGAAACACATAATATTACCCTCTCGGAGGAAGATACTTTATTTGGTGGTCTGGTGTCTAATCTTCAGGTACTATTCCTGTAAATTTTAACCGTAATTGATTAGTGTCAGTGCTCTATCTGTAAGAAAAGCAATGAAGAACAAAAGCAAGTTCTATTGGCAAATTACAGATAGCCGAACTCATTGCATGTATGGCCAAAAACCCAGGCCTTTCGTACTGCAAGGTGGTGGAAGCCATTGCAGAGACAACTGCACCATTGACTCCTATGGAGGAACTCCTTGCAAAGATTCCATCTCAACGTCCTAACATCTACCCAGGAAAGGTACATTTTCTTTCTCTTGACAGAGCAGGGAGCACTTTCTTGTTCATGAACTTTTTACATACTCCTTTCATATTGCTGACAGTGTAAGTGTCTCATCTATAATGAAAAACTGAAAAAGCAAGCAAGAGAATATATTACCTTACTTGTAGTTGTAGTGATGCCCAAGGAATTCCACTTCATTTGGTGCAAGGATTTTGTTTGTACATGTGAATGACTTTCAGAGGCTGAATATGACTTTTTCTTTAGTTATGGACTATAGGAATGACACTCAATGAACAAATAGGGACTAACATCATTGCAACTTCTAATATGAAGCCATTTTTGCTTGCGTCATTTTACAGGACTTTTTACTTTCTATGCATCATATTGACATAACTCAGTTTCAGTATGAAGCTCATATCAACCAGCATGGGATTAAGGGTGAGAGAGATCGGGTTTATGGCCACAGCATGATGCCCATACCCATCTCTCACTTATATCCTGCTGTAGTTGATGATCAATTGATCATGGCATGATAACAGTTATGGGGAAATATGTCTTATTTTCTTGTTTACCTGTAAAACTATTAGGAGCCCTTTCGGGAGGATTAGACATCTAGTTTTTTTCTGGTGTCATCAGGAATCAGTTGATGCTGTTAAACCTGATCCAGCACCACCTAAGAGCATCACTGCTGAGGAACCAAGTTCTGTCGTTGATAAGCAACCTGCACAACCAGAAGTAATGGCAGCAAAGCCACTCTCTCCTTACGTTGCGTAAGTCCTTGTGTTTGCTATTGATTGTATCATGACTCATTAATTGACAAAGTAGTGACATATCCTTTCCCTTCATTTTTAAGCTATGAGGATCTGAAACCACCTACATCTCCAACTCCAACTCCCAGCACTGAAGCTGATGGCTCCAAGACTCCGTTGACCCCAGACGAACCCAAAAAAGTGATGCCTCTTTCCCCCTATACAGCGTAAGTCAATTTGTAACCATTTCATTCTATATCAGGTACATGAACACGTGCTTAGCAATCGAACTCGCTTTGATAGTTATGAGGATTTGAAACCACCTAGCTCTCCAAGCCCAACAGCAAGTGGTCCTAAGGAAACACTTACCAGCACTGCAGCAGCAGGAGAGGAAGCATCATCACTGACTGGAGGCAATGATGTTGCAACAACTTTGGCTGTTAGTGTTGTTGAAGAAGAGACTTCTCAGAATTCAACCTGGTATCATTCACCGTACCACGTGTAAGTCCCTGAGGATTAAGTGGCAGTTCTGCTTTAGTGATCTACCATTCTTATTTGATTTTTAGACAGACAACATCGAGTTTGGAGTATAATTTGTATTATGCTTATGGATATGCCACCATATACTTTCAACTTGATTTGGATATTTGACAGTTATGAGGATTTGAAACCACCTAGCTCCCCGAGCCCGACGCCAAGTGGTCCCAAAACACTATCCAGTGCTTCAATACCAGGAGAAGATAAATCTCCACTGACTGGAGGCAATGATGCAGCAAAAACTATTGCCAGTGATGTTGCTGGCAAAGAGACTTCACAAAAGCCAACCTTCTATCATTCACCATACTATATGTAAGTGTTAGTAATAGCAGTAGTAGTGATAAATCTGATATGGGATAAATGCTGTTTTACCATATAGGAGCTAAATACACTTTAAAAAAAATGTAAGAGCAGATTACAGTTTAGTTTAGGAGTTTGATTCTCTGTCGTTTACATAAAACTATTAGTTTTCTACATGAAGAATAATGAGTAATTCAGTGAATTAAGCATCCAGTGTAATCTGTTTCCCCACAAACAACCAGGTACGAAGATTTTAAGCCTCCAACATCCCCAATTCCATTGCCAAAGAAATTTTAAGAGGACAACTCGTTACAAAAAATGCCAAGGTAATTAATTAATTATCCTAAATCTTTCATTTGATACCCCTTCGTCCTGAATAGAAATAAATCCTGCATCGATGACAAAGTTTGAAACACATGGTTGTTGCAGAACCTACGAAGTAATGATACGGCAGGAATTGTCCGCAAGTTCGGTTGTTCTCTCACCAATGAGAGACAAGCTATTCAGATCATGGGAGTTTTATGATACGAGAAAATATTAATATTAACTTATATGCATTTGTTTCATTTCTGGGATTTACCAGTTTCATGTATGTCTGCAGTTTCTAAGCATTGTTTGGATGAGCTACATAAAATTTAAATTTTTTTTGTAGTATTAAGTGCAAACGGCATGGATGGTGTTCTTGATGTTTTTGTATAAGACGATATTTTTAAAATAAAAATGAGCAAAAATTAGATTAATTAGTGAGGAAGTAATTTTTCGTTTAATTATTTTTAATTTGATATTAATATATAATTGTATTTTAATATTTTAAATATTATAGAATAATGTGAGATAATTGCACTTTTAAAATTAAAAATTAAATAGGGAGAACTTATATAAACTAAAAATAAAGTGATTTAAGAAGTATTCAAACATTCAAAACGGAGTCGTTTTCTTCCACCAAGTGGGGGAATAAGGGCAAGCCCTCTTTCTATAGGCTGCTATCGCGGCCGAGCATCCTCAAGGGGTTTAGGGTTTTGTTTGGATTGAGCCGGACCTCCGAACAGAGCGAAAAGTAGGGAAAGGAAATGGAGGAGCGACCCGGGAACCAGGAAATTGATAACCCGGATGTGACGAACAAGAAAAGCTTCGAGCCCTCTTCTGCTTTGGCCTACCTCGATCCTCAATACTGGTAACACAATCTCTTTATATTGTTCCCCCTTTCTTTGGATAATCTTTATGTGCTCCAAAGCTTTTCGCTAACGTGATTTAATTTTTCCGTTTCCTTGTTCCTGCCACAGGAATAATCGGTTTTTCAACGAGGAGCACTATGAGTGGTTCAAAGATTACTCTCACTTTCGACACCTCATTCAAGCCCATATTAAACCCAACTCTTCTGTAATCTCTCTCTCTCTGGCCATATCGCTCCATTTTTTTAATGTGCTTACATATATGCATATATATGCACAGAATTATGCCTTTATAAGCTGGAGTAGAATGTGTCATTATATAACTTATAAACTTACACTGTTGCACTAGCAAAGAAATTTAGGAGTCTAATCTGAATGATACCGAGGAAGTTATTGAACCTATCTGCTAATAAAAATAAGCCTCGATAATCTGAATTCGTGACTTGGACGTACTCTAAAAGTGAATTCAAGTGCATTTGATGTTTTCAACTTGCGTCATTCTGCATTTCACAGAACAATAGTCAATTTCAAGACCTACATTTTAAAGTTTGTTTCATTCTACTATTATGTTTGTTTTGGGCTTATCGAGTGATTTATGTAGTTTGCTAACGAAATAATTGCGTTGTGATGGAGGTTTTGGAATTGGGTTGTGGAAACTCTCAGTTGTGTGAAGAATTATACAAAGATGGTATCACAGAGATAACATGCATAGATTTGTCATCTGTTGCAGTGGAGAAGATGCAGAAAAGATTACTTTCTAAGGGATACAAAGGTTTGTTGGTAGAAATCTCTCATGCTTTTCATATATTGGAATTTTCTTACCTGCTATTGATAACTCTTATTGTCCTACTTTGTGAAGAAAATTGTAAGTTGATTGTTCATCTGTCTGAGGAAAATATAATGTTGATGCTTAACCTTGTGTCAGATAATTATCAAAGTTCACTTCCAATCTTAAGACCTTTTCCCTTCTGAAGTTTCAAATGTATAGACTATTCAGCATACATATTTGTTTATGTGATCTCATTGTGCTTGTAAATATATCTTGTCCCATAAAAAACTTTAATTAATAAAAAACTTCAACCAACTATGCATTTCCTTGTATTTTCTAATGAAGATGGAAAGGAGGGAAAACCTAAAATATCTGTACATAGCCATATCTTAAAATAGCTTATTTTTACTAGGTTACTAAAATAACAAAGTCTTTGTAAGTCATGTTTCTGTACTACCACAATAAAACTTTGTCGGCAGATTAAATGGGGACGTTCAAAGGATTTAATTACTATCTAGCTATGCAAAGGGAACAGTTCCATTCTTCATTATTTTTTAGGCTTGTTATGTGAAAAGAAATTCTAATGTTGTGGTAAATGGCTATGTTTGACCTTTGGAAATGTTCATTTTCTTTCCCTTTTTGTCACTTCTATCTTCAGAAATAAAAGTGCTGGAAGCTGACATGCTAGACCTCCCCTTTAGCAACGAGTGTTTTGATGTGGTTGTTGAGAAAGGAACAATGGTAAAGAGATAACCAGGAGGGTTTTCCTTTTACACTTGAGACTTCTGGCTGTTCTTAATTCTTAGAGTCAGGACTATTTTCTTTACCAGGATTTTTTCTTAAAGAGTTTATTGCATACCCATAATCAGCTTTTTTCCCTTTGAAGGATGTATTATTTGTTGACGGCGGTGATCCCTGGAATCCACAGCCTGCAACAGTGACCAAGGTCATGGCAATGCTTGAGGGCGTTCACAGAGTTCTAAAAGCAGATGGTCTTTTGATATCGATTTCTTTTGGTCAGGTATTACAGATGAAATCACAATTTTCTTATGTGTTTTCTAAGTTGTAGTGCCAAATTCTTACTTGAAATTCTTACCTTTCCAGCCTCACTTCAGGCGTCCTTTGTTTACTGCTCCTGAATTTAATTGGTCTATGGAGTGGTGTACTTTTGGTGATGGATTCCATTACTTTTTCTATATATTGAAAAAGGTTAGTCCATTTTCTATCTGTATCTTTGCTCTTAAGACTTGTGAGGCATTTGGTTTGGTTTATTTTTCAGATACAAGCACATAGAACTTTTTTTTTTCTTTTGAAGGAAAGAAAGCAGGTATGGTTTATAAAT